GAATCCGCCTCTCATCAGGTGGAATCCACCTCTCATCAGGTGGAATCCACCTCTCATCAGGTGGAATCCACCTCTCATCAGGTGGAATCCACCTCTCATCAGGTGGAATCCGCTCGCCTGACAAACAAATCTTGTAACCGATCGCTGCTTTGATGTGAATTATCCGCTCGTGCGTCGCAAGTGTGAGAAGATTTATGGTGCTAATCACTGTTTTTGCCAACGATATCGATTGTGCGAATACAAACGCTGGCTTCTGACGCCACGCTAGGTGATTTATGTGCGCGCTGCCGTGCGTTGACTCGGTAATGAATCGGTGATGTCTTCGATAGGTTTCTCACAGAAAGGAGCATGTTGTTCGTTTCATGCTGTCGCCGCCAGATGCCGCTGCGATGATCGTGAACGGCGCGCAGGCCGGAGAAGGTCTTAGCAATCGTTACCGCGCAGAAACGATGGAGACCGACGGCATGGAAAGTCCATCGCGCATGCGCCTCGTACAGTTCGAAAAGAACGCCGACGAGCCAATGGTAGGCGTTTACGCTGAGAATACAAGGCGTATTCCATCCACTGTTATGGGTCTCGCCTGTGTTTGCCTGTTTTGTTATTCTAATCGTAAATGTTATCGTAATCGTTAATGTATCGTTATTCTATCGGTAATGTTTCGCCCTTGTAATAGCATTACAATTATAATCTAACTGTCGTCGCATTCCTATGCGTAATGAGACGTGACGTCAATGTGCACAACAGTTAAACATAAAATGCGCTAGGCAGCCCATCACGTGTAACATAGCAGCCAACGCCATGTTTTCTCACTGTGCCTACTTCATACCGGGCCACCCCTCCGTGTCCTACACATGATTGAATTTATTATGCTACCGTGTATGATTGCAGGGAATTACGTTGAAAGTAGACGAAAAGGATCGCTGTGTTGTCGTGCGCATTATACACGGCGGGATGGTTCATAAACAAGGTCAGTGCTATTCTATGCTCATATAATTGTATCAATAGCTAATAATACCTTATTATTGGCTCTTGATTGTATTATGGGTTTTTTTCTAGCTGCGCAACGCACATCTTGTCTAGCTTCAATAGCTAGCGTATATGGGATTAAAGGGTGAAGCCGTGGGCGTGCGTAAGCTAAACAGGCGCATGCACGCACAATCGATGTTCCTGTAGCTCCGCATCGCTCGCTTGTGTCTCTGTTATTTCTACGCCACGACAGTTGATTATGTGTTACACGCACTGCCGCCGTTAGAAACGAGTTACGATGTGGATGAATTATTCTACGGAAGAGTGTGTGTGTGTGAGTAGTGTAGCGGAACGTATTGTTTTCGCGCTGTGTGTGTGTGTGTGTGTGTGTGTGTGTGTGTGTGTGTGTGTGTGCATGTGTGTGTGTGTGTGTGCGTGGAGACGGAGAGAAGGGTAATGGCACGATAAGTGAATAATCATTCTTTTGTTTTCCAGGCAGCTTACATGTCGGAGACGAAATTAAAGAAATCAACGGGATAAGTGCCTCGAAGAAGACAACGGAAGAACTACAGAGACTGTTGGTTAGCGCATGCGTCCTATTTATCCGCTAAAATACTACCGAAAAGACTGTCTCGACGCGCTCACCGATACCTTCTTTACTGCTAAATGCTATTATGTCTCTGTAACTTTGTATTCTATCTGTGCGTAAGCGAAGCTCACCCTAACTGCTGAATGCAATTTTTCACTCAGAGAAAAGCGTGCGGCGTTGTCGGGCTAAAGGTTGTGCCGAGTTACAGAAGCGCCCCGCCGCCTTGTGAGGTATATATTTCAAGCTCTGTCTACGGAAACCAGCGTGAAGTGCGAGAGACTTAAGGTTAACGTAATTTTTCGCAACCTGTTAACCAGCTATCGATACCGTCAACGATATCGTTGCATCCAAGAATAAATAGCTGACGGCTAAATGAATGAATCTAAGAAATGAAGAGAGGCCCGCTGGATTCATTTTCGTAACGCTATCCTAACCATATAGACTCAACCTACGCATCGAAATCCCAAGCTGGATAACTCGGGGCGACCCCCGTCAGTTTTCCACGAACGTAGGCTTTCGAGCATCAGCCGACGGGCGGGGACAACCCAGATTCCCCTCGTTTTTTACCTCATCGCTATCGATGGATCGTTGCAGATATTCGTGAGAGCCCAGTTCGACTACGACCCGGTGTCCGACGACCTTATTCCGTGCACGCAGGCCGGTGTCTCATTCAAGATAGGCGACATCCTCGAGGTCATCAGCAAAGACGACCACAACTGGTGGCAGGCGAGAAAATGGATGCAGACGCAACTGTGCCCTGCAGGTTGGCTGCTGTGTGTAACGCCTGAATATAGACTCTTGAATCTCGGTAAACGAGTAACGAGTGACGAGTAACGAGTAACGGGGACATCGGTGTGAATTGGCGTTTCTTTCAGCGAGGCGTTCCCGCGATGCTGAGGGCGCACCGCGGCTCCTCCTTTTCCTCCTTCTCCTCCTCATCCTCCTCTGCCTCATTCTCCTCCCCCTCCTCTGCTTCCTCCTCCTCCTTCTTCTCTGCCTCCTCATTCTCTGCCTCATTCTCCTCCTCCTCTTCCGCACGCGTCACACACAATTACAGTTTAATTGCATCGGGTGCTGCAGCCGATTCAATGACGGAAAGCTGACGGAATCTATCGCGATGGCGAACATTCATTCGCGTACACGCGCTGTGAGTGACCGACGCTCTCGCGACCGTGTTGCAGGTCTCATTCCATCGCCCGAACTACAGGAGTGGCGAACGACGTACTATAATGTCGAGAGGGCCAAGCACGAGGCGCAGGGTAACTTCGCTTGTTTACTTCACCTCCCCGCGCTGCCTTCCGCTGCTCGCTATGAAGGTTGTAAACGATAGCAACTAAGTAAACATCGGAGGGCGTTCGCGCGAGGCCGACCGTATGGGCAGCCTTCGAAGTCATTGCTAAAAACGAAACGGATCTTCGTCTAGCCGACATGCTGCTTGCAATTAATGGTTCGTGCTATGTAGACTGCGGAGAGCCCCCCCCCCGCGCGCACGTACACACACACGCACACACGCACACACACACAGACAGACAGACACACACACACACACACACACACACACACACACACACACACACACACACACACACACACAC